GTGCACCTACAGCTGAACAAGACAAATACTCAATATCCTTACAACTCAGTGTAATTTCACATTTTTTGACGACAGGCTTACTTTTTACGATATACTCATTTGGAACTACATTGAAAAATTTAGTGTAAAAACAAGACTCCTCAAAAAATACAGCAGAAGAAGCTTACAACGCTCACCTGAATGACAAACGGATTCAATAAGGCACTAGAAGCTCCACTTGAAACAACCAGAAGTTGAGAGTAAGGCTGAAAAGCTCCTCTGCATTTTAAATTTTCAAGCGAGGAATAAAGAACTGCCACTGTTTTGGGGCCATCAAACCCAGAAACATCAATGCAACTTACATAATATACGAACCAATGCATGGATATGTTATGCGACTTCAACAGCTTCACTGATTTCTTCTCTGCATTCACCTGATACAGTTCCAAACCCTATAAAAATATGCTTTATGAAAGAATGAAGAAACATTCCAGATTTAGCAAGAAACTGTCAGTAATCACTTGAATAACTTCGACCTCACCGGCGATCAAAACAAGCAGTTCTCCGCAATGAACTGTTAGAATACATTAAGAAACGAAGCAAAATAAGGGCAAATTCACCATAAAATTATAAGCAAATTCATGAGTATCAGAAAAATCATTAAAAAAAATTATCGTGAAAAGCATCGTCTTCGGAAAGCTTAATACCGCAAGACCCAAGAAAAGTAAATTCATTACAATTCGAGGATCCAACGGAAAACCGTCAGTAACTTTTTACAAAAATTATTTATAAATCAACCATTAGCATACTGAAGAATTACTGGAAAATTTCGTAGCATTGAAAATGCATTACTCCGATGCTCCTTTACTTTGAAAAGTTGCTGTTGGCCCGCTTTTTATGCGTTTTATGTTGTGCAACAGCTGCACAAAATGCATATTGTCACAGGGTTGTCCGTGTGTGTGTTTGTGTCTCGACAAAATCAAACAGATTTTTCCCTTTGCATATTTGCAGTTACGGAAAAGAATAAGGTTTTTCAGTTCATTGCAGTCAGTTGTTGCCCTAACAGCGAATGGCGAGTGCAAT